ATTTTTTGTCCTCGTAGCCTCTTTTTCCTCCTCTCTGCTGTGACTTAATGAGTTTCATAGTAATGCACAAAGCTGACAGGTGAATGGACGGTTCCACAGAATGAAATACAAAAGAAGCTAAATAATTACCTACCATGGAAACTGGGGACAAAAGACCTGTGCAAGCCTCATTTATACAAATAACATGGTGTGTTTGTCCAACTGGGACAGTCATCTGCTCCTACATGTACCCACACACATTCACGTCATCTAAACCTGAATCTGAATTACGCAGGACACTGAATCTGACACATGCTTTTGTAGAACATACAACGTAAGGCTTCCTTTTCGTCACGGTTGATTCTGTTCGTGAAGGAAAACTTTAGTTCCCTTCGATTTACACATGGTGCACTCTGGTGTAATTAAACCTGAGGGGAGTTTGAAAGACCACAGCAGCTCTTATAAACTTGTATTTTCACATATTTGTATCTTGTGAGTTACTAATAGTTTTGAAGCTAGCACAGTCGTGACTCGATAATCTGACCCTTATAAATCCAAAAACCTTGCTATCAGACAGGTTTTTAGGAAAAATGAATGGAACCCTGGAAGCTCTTTGCTGATGAAGAAAAAAATTCTACTGCACCGAAAAGGTTTTTCACATTTACACACTTTTGGACGTGCAGCGAAAGGCTCACATTGTCGGTTGTGGAGTAAAGAAGGGAACATATTTTGATGGGCTTAGTTTTACCCAGTATGCCTTGATTGGTGTATTTCTTTATTCATCTACTAATCAATTATTCAGCTACTGATTTCATCCTTACTTTCAAAAAAACCCAACTAAATTCTGCTATATCTTCTGCCATTTCTACTTGTGCAGCTGCATTTCTTACCCACTGCTGAAATCTAAAAAGCCTACAGTCATTACTGTCACCAGTAAATCACTGCTGTTGCTCATTTTATGAAGCTAATCAAGGCAACAGTGGCTCTTAGCTGCAGGATTATTACTCGTGCCTCTTAATGCACAGAGTGGAGCCTTCGTGACAGAAATGCATTCATATCAGCTCTGATTTTTTTATTGGCACTGCACTTAATTATGTTCCAGACGTATTGCACTTCACTATGGATGATAAATATGTTGGACTGTTTGAGTGAACACATACAGGGTACTCCCCTCACTGGGGTTATTCATACTTTACAAAATTACATATGGGTATTGGTAAATGTATGTTTTCTTGAGTTTGTTTTATATTCTAAGTTTTCACTTCTATCAGCCACTAATTCCCACTTCTACTGGGTGCTATGTATCCCAACAAAAACTGAAAATATGGTCAGCGCTAGCATACTAAGCATTAATTCTCATCACATTGGAAAGATACGATGTGAATAGCTTAAAAATGAAGACACAACTTTTTGTTGTCAAATCTGAACCAGTAATGTAAAAAAAGAACTACGTTAGTCCTGACGACACCAGAAGAAGTTTATGAGGACTGTCAGTCAAGTTGTTATATATAGTGTTTTGTGCAGGTGAAAGAAGAACATATTGTAGACTTATTTTATGTGTTAAAGGACATAACCCGTTAAAAAACAACCTTATGGTTCCTCACAGAGGTGCTGGAGGCTGAAGTAATGCTGTAAAGAGCAACTATCTGGTTAAATGGTGTGTTATTAATGTGTTTAGAGCCCAAAACCTCAGTTTTATCTGTATTTCAAAGACAATTCAATCGTCCAAGCCTTGACATGCTTAGAGTTTCATTAACTGATGTTTATCCCCCAGTCTCATAGATAAATATAGCAGGGTGTCATCTGCATAGCAGTGAAAGTTTAAGAAGTATTTCCTCATAATATCGCCCAATGGAAACATGTAAACATGAAGGCGATGTACCCTAACACAGAACCCTGTGGAACTCCACAACTAATTCTTGTAAGTAGAAGAATCATGGTTTCCATGAACAAACTGTATTTTATCTGATAAATGTGCTTTAAAGCAGCCGAGTGCAGCTCCTTTGATCCCAACGACACGTTCCAGCCTCTGAGAGAAAATCTTGTTATCAATTGTATCAAATGCATCACTGAGATTCAGCAAGACGAGCATAGAGACGAGTCTTTTGTCTGCGGCTGTGAGAAGAATCAGCATGATTCATTCTGTGGAGACAACAAAGACACACACATAATGGCTCTGCTGTAAGAATCATTTTGTAAGAGTGTGTTACAGAAAGCTTTGCTCACTAAAGCCCTGCAAAGACCTAAAACCTACATCAGAAGAATCAAGTCTGAAAAAAAAACAGCCACAGAGAATTGGTTCATATTAACAAATCAAGTGAGCAGTTAGATGAGGACGCCCGAACTGTACTAAAAAACGGTAGTGTGAAATAAATAAAGCTCCACTCACCAGCTTTCAACTAGTATTTCACTGTATCTCACAGTTTTTCTCAAGACCCATTACTGGTTAGCGATATGAAAGCTGAGGAAACTTAGTTCTTCCTTATCAGGAGTCCTGATGTTCTTCTTTACTTTCATCTACCTGTAATGTCTGATTTTGTGTGAGGGTCACTGTAAAAAAAACAAAACAATGGAATTCCCAAGGTTTAAATGATAAATTTACAATACAAATGTATATTAGTCTCAAATTTGGACCCGTGAGCAGCTTATCAATAAATGAATCAACCTACCAACTTTAATCATTTCACTTGTGGTCAGCTAACTTGATGTAGCCATGTTCCATACTTTTGCATCTCCTCACTAATGTGGCGTTCTCTGTTTACTGATGACGTCTGTGGTGTGATGATCTAACCTTGCAATGTGAAGCAATGTCGTTCCTCGACAAAAAAAAAAAAAACTAAACTAAAAGCTATTTTCCCAGGTTTTCGCTCTTAATTTTCTCACTCTAAACTCAAAGTCGTTTTTCTGCATCTTACCTACAATGACCTCTATATGCTCTTGTTGTAACATTCACAATGCAAAATTGTACTTCATGGAAAATTACAACCACTTATTGTAATAAGTATCAAATGAAGCAGAATTCAACAGTTAATTTTGTTAGATAGTTTAGACTGATTTGACATAATTTTTATAACAAATTGATTGCAAGAAAGACTAAAAAGCAAAAGCAGAAACTGGCAACTGCTGTGTTTGAGCAGTCAGGTGTAGAGAAACCACACCGCTGCTCTAAAACAGCGTGAGAAAACCCAACTCTCATGCAGAGATAAAGTTTTATTATTTCAATATACTGCTGCGGTTTGCCTCACCGAAGCTCATCTTCCCATTTTTATACCGATTGACCATCATTTGTTAAACATTTTGAGAGAAAGTTCGTTTTCTTTATGCGCTCTGAGTCGTCAATCAGTCCAGAAACAAACAGCTCATTAGGAATGAACCGGTCAGCACTGCAGCATTGTTAAGAACACACACACACACACACAAACAGATGTACATGGACACACAGGACACTGAGCGCGAGCAGTGATTTACACTAACAACTCACTCACTCAATATATAATATCTCTCAATGCCCAACTCTCCCCAGACACCCATCGCTCATTGTGTGAGTGTGTGTGAGTGTGTGTGTGTGTGTGTGTGTGTGTGCGTTGCAGTCAGTTGCAGTATTAATACAGGCCTAATGGAGCACAATGGGAGCTGCAGTGTTCCCTCTGAAAATGATTTAATTACATTTGCAAAGTGGATGAGTCTGGAGGGAGTGTTTGCTGCGTCAGGGCTTTCACACACACACACACACACACACACACACACAGAAACGCACCACTCCGTCAAGACCAGGAAGAGAAACAGTCTTTCAATTAGTCTGATTGGCCGCTGCTGCCCGAGGTCTGGAGGCAGTGTTTTATTGGCCTTCTCTCGCTCTCTTTTACTTCTTTATTTTTCATAACCTCATTTTCTAGATTGCCGTCTCCCTCGCATCCCTTCCTCTTTATGTCTTTAAAGCAACGTCTCCCCATTCCCTTTCTCTTACTCATCGTCCTCCCCGTGTAATCGGATTTTGAATTGTGGACTGTAATGATGACGTGAACATTTTGTTGGTTTTTCTGAGCAGGTGCGTGCCTCCTCTCTTTGCACCACATGCAGTCAGGCAGCTATTACACATAAGACGATGTATTTAACGTCTTGTGTCGAGGTTTTTTTGCATTTTTGTCCCCATTTTCTTTAAAAACACTGTTACAACTACAATCCTACAGAAAGGGCATCACTAAAAATCAGAACATTTATTCCTCTTCGTAGCGAGAACGTGCTCTGCAAACACACCCAACTGTTGTTTTGTATATTCCTGCAGCCATTTTGCATCTCTTTGTGGTTAATGTGCACTTGCTTGGTCGTTTTTGTTGTGCTGCCACCTGAGTCGAAGGTGGAAGAGTGAACCATCAGTGGGAAGAACTCCGATTGACCTAAAACATCCAAAATTTGAACGAGCTTGTATTATTTTCCCACAACATGAAAAGACTAATCAAGTAGATATATCTCAGCGACGAAGCGAAGAACTCATTTATGTCTTGCTGTGTTTGAAGTCAGTTGTCATTTGATTTCAGATAATTAAATGTCTTTGTTATTTTCTATTCATTTCAGTATGCTGTGCACTGTCTATATTAGTTTACGATGAGACATATCGACTCTTATTGTTAAAGAAGAAGATGTTTCATTAACATGTTTATTGCCTATAAGGAAAATTAAAAGCCTGTTTGAATGGAAAGACAAACAGCTGGCTAACAGACACATTGCATGTTATGTTCAAATCAATCTGAATCTTTTTAGCTTAACTCTTAGACATTTAATTAAAAGCCTTGTTTGTAATATTTAGGGGCAGTTCAGTGATCACTGTGCCTGGCTGCAGCACTAATGGACATAGGGTTGCACGATGCATGAGCTTCCAGCATGTAAAGCACATTTTGTTGCCACAGAGTCAACGATTTTAGTCTGAGGCTGCTTTTTTTTTCCCCCAGCAGTTTTAAGTTGCTGTTTGTTTAATCCTTTGGAAACAACAGTAAGTCAAACATCTGTGTTTTTATGTTTAGATTCTGGGATTACAGCCGAAACCAGCCTCTCCTGGACACTGTTGAACATCATTCAGAGTTCGTGTGTGGATTAGACTTCAACCTGCATATCCCCAACCAGGTAACACACAAACACACTTGTCCTGGTGATACTGTTTGTATTGCGTTTCATGCAGCCACTCATTTCATCCGTAACATTTTGTTGACGTAGCTCTGAGGGTTAGCGCCTCGTTAAAACAACGTGACCCTGCTTTATTTACTGGAGCTGCTCTTACACTGCAGGAGTTTTAACAGATTTGAAGATTGAATTGCGTCGCACTCATGAGGACTGACTTCCCAGATGTTCTTCTCGCTGATCCCAGATGTGCACATTTCAAGATTTGACAATAGTGGCGCATCCCACTCTACAGGGTTCTGTTTATCATGCAAGAGCCAGCAATCAGGGAGCAGAGCACCATGTCATGTGATCTCAAGAGAAAGCAGATGTAAGAAAAGAAGACTTTGGTGCGACAACTTTCTGTAACATAAATGATACTATTCAGCAAGAAGAAACAAGCAAAAGGCTAAATGAATCTGGATGAAGCAACAGCTGAGAAGAATGTTGGCCTCAAGGGCTGTTTAGCATTGATTTGCAACGGTGTCCACTGTTCTGGGTGTTCGGTGATCGTAACCTTCCACATTTTTACTCATAAATATCAAAAATGTTTGCTACTATCTGTACTGTATCTGTTCTGTATCTGTATTGAACCTTCAGGTCAAGATTCCCAGACCAATGAATCTTTTTTTTCTCCTTTTGTTTCTGAAGCGTTTTGGTGACGAGGCAACTTAATTAGCGTTAGTTAGCTAGCTTAGTTAGCATTAAATAGAAATTAGTCAAGTTGTTGGTTGTGTTTGATTCAGGAAGTCTGTCATCCATCACTATAACAGATAAATCAGACGATGTACATGCAGTTTAGTGGTAACCCTGCAGTCGACTGGTGTAAAATTAAAATCCAGAATCCTCTTTGTCTGAGACCAAGACAACACCAGGAAAAATACGGTTAATTCTGAGACCAAGACATTTAAGTGGGCCGTCTGAAACACAAGGACATACTTAAAAGCAAGTCAGAACCATCTGTAAAGCCAAAAAGCTGCTTTTAATGTAACTGACATCTTCTCGATGTAAACTTTGTGAAACGCGCGTGTAGAAAATGCTGCAAAATTAACTGACAAAGTCTTCTTTTAGCCCCAGAAACTGTCTGCAGATTGAGTCATTTCCAAAAATCCACTCGAGGCACCGTAGGAACAGATCGACTTTGGTCTGTACGTGAAACCTGAAGGCTCACTGTGAAGCTGGGGACCTTGATCCATCATTGTAGGCATAGTTAATAAGTTCACCAGATGTAAACAGCAGGAGACCTTCAGCCTGTGGAGATCACGCTTCACTAAGTACATCAGAGAAAAAAAAAATGAGATGCATGGACTGCTGCACACTGCGACCCAAACCTGGAGGCAGCAAACCGCAGATGGAGGTTGATGGTTTAGAAAAATGTACATTAGCTGCACTGAGGTGAAGCTATTACAGAAAATAATGAAATAGCCTCTTTGTATTGTACTCATTGATATTTTATTTCCTCTACACTCACCAAAAGCATGTATTTGGTTCACTGGACGTTTACAATGTGTTTATCAGATTTAGGAAACATCCCCTTTTCCCTGTTCTTGCCTCACTGTGTCCATGTCCGGTTTCTATCTGTGTGCTGTTGAAATGGCGCCATCCATCAACCTGTCTGCACGTGAGCAGCCTGAAGTTAACGAACACACAGTAAGACGCACCAACACTGGGCTGTCAGCGGGCCGTGTGCTCAGATGTGTCGGGGGGTAAAGAGGCAGTGAATCGAAAAGGCCACCGGTGTCAAATTCAGTTTTCCAGCTAATTTAGACAGGCGCTGTCTCTGTTGCAAGTAAAGTCGAGGGATAAAAATGACATCCAGCCGAGTTCAGCTGGAAGCCGCTGGATGCATGCGTGGGAAATCCTGACAAGAACTGTACTGGGATCTGTGTTGATGGTGAAATTAGTTTTGAAGTCAGCTGCAAACAGAAGCAGAGCGAGTTTGTTTCTCCTGCAGCATCATGTAAGTCTTCAAGCGTTCTTTGTTGCTGTTTTATATTTTAATCTGATTATCTACCTTAAAAGAACAAGCATGTCTTTGCCCATTAACTACAAGTGGCGCGGACATCACTGCTGACCAGTTCCTAAACCACATCATTAGTTTTGAGACTGATTCCCTACCTTGAGGGAGGCCGGCTGGATTTGGTTCATTTCCGTTAAGCTTTGAGAATCAGCCCACAGAGGCGGAATCCAACATCGAGGACATGAGGCAAAACAAATCTTTTTTAAATGGAAGCGGTATTATTCACATGATCCTTTTGACATCGTCTCTAAGTTGTCGTCTTTGTCTCATTTATGCCTGCAGCAAAATATTTATTGGAAATACAGCCATTTGAGATACTTCTTCTCAAACAAAGGCGATTGTAACAGAGACATGATGGTGGTGCCAAAGAACAGGCCTCTGGTCACGGAAATATTGAGGAATCAGTCTTTGGGAAGTCTTCACTGCAAATGTAATAGCATCTAGCTGAAATGACCATCTTTTGGCTCTGGCTGATTAGGCAGCTCCAAAAGGCTTCTGCAGATTGATTTTCTTGGTATTCTAACAGCTACTGAAACCAGCAGCTGACTGGATGATAGGACATTAAAATAGACTTTATTGTTTATAAACTGGACACGAAGCTGCAAGTTAACCTAAAAGATCTGTGAGTTGGTTAATGTGATAATATGCTCCCCACATTGTAGCCACTCTGAGGAGGAAGGATCAATATCTGATTGAACAGCTCACAGCTATGAAGAATCTGTGGAGAACAAGGCAAACACATTGGGAATCACTGTTACAGCTGATGAGCTAAAGCTTCCTAAATTGCTGGTATAATCTTTAAATAATAGTCCAGAGTCCACAGTCTTGAATGATCCTTACCTCGGAACAAAGATTGCTTTAGAAATTGCAGTTCAAATTGCTGCAATTTGTGCTTTAGAAAAGTACAAGCCAAGAACTGATAGCGGTTGTCGAGCAGCGAATGTGTCACATTTCCAATTTCTATTATTGTCAGCTTATCCCATAAAAAAACCAAAATGGACTATTTGATCCCACTACCAAGGCCTGTGTGTGTATCGCCACCTGGTATGTTTTATTCCTCATACATGGTATATACACAGCTCTGTTATTGTTTAAAAATGACAAAAACACATCGATGAGCCACTCTGCTGTACTGACTGGTTGTTCCTTTATTGCTATGAGGATAAACGCTGTAGTTTATTTTGATTCTACTCTCCACATACACCTCCTGCTGCCACAAATACTCACTGAAAGTAGTTCACACAATCACCATTTGCTTTAGGAAATCACTCAGACTTATTTTTTACTAGATTTGAAAAGGTCTGAATCATCCTGTACCTGCGGACTAGACGACTGCATGTTTACAACAGCACACCAGTCGAACACGGTCTTCTACAGAGACAGCTGGATTATAGGCTGTTTGTAGCTACCGAATGTTTTTATTCAGGAGACAGTCTGTCAAACAGCCAAGAATTACAGCTGTCCCAGATGAGGAGCTCAAAAAGACGAATGCTGACAGGAGAGAGTGAGTCTGACTGACAGAAAAGATACCCTAATGCAAGCTTAATGTATTACTGTATGTCATGTTTCATTTCTACAAAAGAAGCCTTCAGTGATGAGGACGTTCTTCTCTCTGGAAAAGTGGTATTTCAGGGAAACTTTAGAAGAAAAATGAGGACGCACATCCAACAAAAAAATAAAAAATGTTCAGGTCCTGGACCAAAAGAGAAACATCTTCATAGAAAAGAAGTCCTCACATTGCTATGCTCCCCCCCTTAGGACTTTATTATTAATCACTGTGCAACATTTGGATCAATACCAGCTGCTTCAGACACTTGGCCACAAATGGTATTTTCAGATCTCACAGTGTGTACATGCATAGAGAGAACCCTGACACAGGTATTGATGTCAGAGGGCAGCTAATTCCAAGGCTACATTCAGACTGTGTGCATAAGTGCCACAAATTAGCTTTTATGTGGCTCAGTTTTTTTCCCACAATGTCAGCAGCACAAACACATGGGTTCTGATGTTTACAATTCTGATTTAGCCACTTCCATATGTTTCATGCAAGTTTTAAGTCGCTCCAGATAGACATTTGTCACAGTTCAGTGGTGACTGGAAGCATCTAAGACAGTCGTGATTGAGGTAGTCAATGGAGGGACAGGGAGGTGTTGGACCTCGTATGTGTTTGGGGTCCCACTGCTCACAGATTTGCTAATAAATGAAATTGTCAGTGCAGACTTCAGTGGCCTTCATGATTATTTTTTTTTTTTTTTTTCTTTTGTGCATTTGGGTCAGTTCAGGACCAGTTCACACTGAAATCTAAAATTGGCCACATTTAGAAATTGAAGACATCAACCACACCCCAAAAAACAACCCCATCCCCCCCAGCTGTCTTATCATGGAGCCCAACATAGCGTGTTAGTTTCTCTGAATACCACTTTTGCGGCGGGTTGTCCCTCTCAAACCAGAGAAATCACAGGTGAGAGACTCGACACTTAAAGAATCCTGTGGGAGAATTCTGTCATGATAAAAACGATGGCTTGTTATAAATCCTTAGTAGTTCCTTTGCGTTCCCATTATTTAGACTGTGGGAATTCTGACCTCCAGGGATACAGTCATTTAACAGACCCAAGTCTGCAGAGTGTCCTCCAGGGTGCTGCAACCCGTTTAGTGACTTGATATAACCTTAAGTCAATTACTGCTCCTCCCTGGTGACGATGTCTCCTTCAGATGTGTGTAGGGTCACTTTTCATGTGCCTGCCACGGTGACCCGGGGTAACTGGGAATTGGGGTTGATTCAGCTCCATCTCGGTGTGGTCATCGGTGCTCATCAACGCCCTCCGTCAGCTCCTCCTCATGGATCTCTTCCTTCCTGGAACCGTGGCCTGCCTGCTTCAGGACCTTCAGGTGGTGTGTTGGGATGGCTGAGATCAGCTGTCCCCACAGCAGCTCCCCCACACCGATG